ATGAAATATCATGCAATAGACCGGATTTCCATGAAATATCATGCAATAGACCGGATTTCCATGAAATATCATGCAATAGACCGGATTTCCATGAAATATCATGCAATAGACCGGATTTCCATGAAATATCATGCAATAGACCGGATTTCCATGAAATATCATGCAATAGACCGGATTTCCATGAAATATCATGCAATAGACCGGATTTCCATGAAATATCATGCAATAGACCGGATTTCCATGAAATATCATGCAATAGACCGGATTTCCATGAAATATCATGCAATAGACCGGATTTACCGGAAATATGCGCGCGCCTGTGATATTTTTGATTAAAGCGACCGCACATCTATGAAATCGCATATTATGGCAAAACAAATGTAGATGCTTAGGGCCAAAGCTCGAGCAGCAAACAGAATTACATTACATGGCTTATGTTCTAATAAACTGCCTGAGAATGAATTGCCGCATTTCCATACCATGTTCATTATCGTCAACGCGTACTCCTCGATAGTATCATTGCCATGGAAACCGATCATATCCTTGTCGACCACTACCAATAGCTGCATGGTGACGTCATCAGTTGGCGATCGACGCATGCGTGAAGATGAGTACGAATTACGAATGGTATTTCCATCAACTGGGTGACGTACACCGGCTCGTCGATCTGGTGACAGAGAAAGACAAGCCTGTGGTCATGTGTTGGGAATCTTACTAAAAATAGTCCGCAACCATTCACACCCGTGGAACAGAGTCGTTTACAAAGACCTTGAAACAAAATGTATCAAATTAAAGCGTCAAATCGTAACTGCAGTCTTTAAAAAGTAGAACAACCACAAAAATTATATATTACCAATTAACCAAGAATTTCTACAGAAATAAAAAATGATTATATTCACGATAACTTGGAAATGCACAAAAAGCAGTTAATGAAAAAAGGGAACGATTTAACATCTTCATCCAAAATGGCGGCTAACGTGACGACGTACTATCGAGGAAAAACCCATGACGTTCCTGCTTTCATCAGGATCAGGAAATATAAGTCCTCTTTTAAAGTGGAATTATGATCATTATAAGAACAGCTTTTAATACAATAAGTTTTTCCCGGCTTCAAAGATTTAACATAAACCCTTGCTAACATAGGATTAGAAGCACATTTTGTCATGCGAATGTATTCTTGAAAATGTTCTTTCAACATTAACACGCGAATAGGTACACGAAGAACAATGTTGGACAAGGAAGCACTTAAGCTCCTCGGGGTTATTATGCTAAGATTTTTAACTATTTCTTCAGGAAATGTGCCAAGTGTGCCAAATGGTAAAAAAAACACGATAATGGTGAACAGCGGTGTGCCCTGGTTAAAGTACCAGAATAGCATTTCCTTCGTGCTTTTTTCTTCGTGTTTTTTTTTTTTTTTTTTTTTTTTTTTTGCTTTATAATGTTGTTTAAAACTGGAAATAAGCTATAGATTAAATGATACATGAATAATAAGGATATTTCAATAGTCATCTCGATATTTTTAGCCCTAAGGCGCTTTGTATTTTTAAAATAATGCCTTGTATTCAAATGCACGCACATTGCACGGTGCTTGAGTGGTTTTGCATGACAAACTTATTAAACAAAGAGATCAGAGCTGGATGTAAAAAAAAAAGAAAATTCGGTTTCCTCAAGCCATGGAATGCGAAATTATGCCGATTCTATTATATTCTATATTTAACAAAAAAAACTTAACGATTTATTAAATATTATTTATACGAGTTTATAATAATCACTTTATCATGGGTTTATAAAAACCAGAGAATCTACATTACATAATATCGTGTTTTAACATAATGTTTCGTGAATATATCATTTGAACTCTAACATGGCATCTGTAGGATATCAAACAAGATTGATTCAGTAACAAGAGACTAAAGAATTTTGATTCTTTGCGGTTAGAAACTGTGCCAAAACGTTTTACGTCGACGGCGAAGTGCGTATCTAGTAGTTGGTACCTTTAGGGGGCTTGGGGGCTTCAATTATTAGCTCATAGGGCAAAAAATTTTTTACATATGTCTGCAAACATTATATAAGCACCTCCAGCATGTTACATGTCAAATACCAACCCTCACTATTATAAGATTATAAGACCCCTCCTACATAACAAATATAAACATCTTCGATCCCCCCACCCCCCCAAACAATTTCATAAATCATGCATCAAACCGACCTCAATTTTGCCGACCCCCAATGATCTAATAAATGAATGCCCCCTAACGTATGTAATGGTATTATGATCATCATCATCACCATCAGTATCAGTGTGATTGTCATCATCATTCTTTTTCATAAATAGATATTTCCTACGCAAACACGCGAACATGTGTTTTTGTCACGAGAAGCCAGTGCCGAGTGCAGGTATACCGAAAAACAAAGTTGATGCTGTTGTTGTCGTCGTTACTGTTTCGTCGTTGTTGTTGTTGTAGCCGTTAAAATCGTTGTTACTGTTGATGATGTTAGTGTTGCTGTTGTTGTTAAAGTGTAAGTATCAGCCATTACGATTCATGAATGTGCGCACAGCCCCATACACCTTTATCATAATGGCCGCCATCTAATTAACATAAATTTTTAAAATTTAGAATTTTAGTCAAAGTAAACTAACAGCTGATAGGAACCTGTGCTAATAACAACATGTAAAAGTTTGAAATGAAAATATTAAATTCTGGTGAAGTTATAAGGATTTAAAATATATCATAACACCAGAACGAGGCTATAAAGGCCTTGGCTGAAAATTACATACATTTCTTTGTATTTTCATTTCGCCATAACTTTGCTCGCATTTTATCCAGGGCTGTAAAACTTTCCAAAAATGTTTATTTTTGGTAGTTCATTCACATGACAGTGACAAAGTTTTCACATATTTCATATTCAGAAACAAATAGACAGACAGCCATTGGTGGAAAATTACATACATTTCTTTGTATTTTTATTTCACCGTAACTTTTTTCCTATTTTGTGCAGAGTTCTAAAACTTTCCAAAAACGTTTATTTCTGATAGTTCTTTGATGTTACAGTGACAAAATATTCATATCTATCTTATTTTGGAAAAACACAATTGCCGCCATTATGATAAAGGTGTATA